AGTTCACACAAACAGATCGGATTTTTTCAAAAAATCGGAACTGAGCATTAAGACCTGCAGTGTGAACGTAGCCTAAGAGTAGCTGCATGGATGTCCCGAGATAAACTTTTCCCCCTGTCTTTTTTCAAATTGTGACAATATCTCGACTCTGATGGGATTTTGTGAGCGGAGCACAGACTTTATAAGTAAATATAGGACATTATAACATTTGTTTTAATGAAATGTGCATCAAGTGAGCTACAGTTTGTGTAAAGGACACTGATATGAGATATGAAACATAACTCGTTAAATTCTGTCAGTCATATAGTGAATAAGTTGTTCTGTAGAGTTAATATACTTGTAAATCTGATTCTGATCAACTAAGTGCCTCACCATGAACCTCACTGCAGGTCATTGGTATTTATATTGCACCAAACAGAACTGAGCAGAAAAAAATGCTGAGTGATCATGGTTTGGATGAGTTTGCAGTGTTTGTGATGTTCAGGGCAACAACAGCTCGTGGGTAGAAACTGTTTTTAGTCTATTTTTTCTTGGCTTCAACAACCAACATCAATAGGCTTCAACAAATTGCCCCTTGGGGATAATAAAGATTCTTGAACTCTCTAATACTGTATGTCTGGTAGATACCAGCAAGTCAACAGGGTTTCTGAGGATGTGCAAGACTTCTGTAGGGAAGTTGTAGTAGCTTGTTGTCCTGATGTATCCATGATGTCAGGCTCACATGGTGAATTGGTCGTGAAGAATTTAAAGCAGGAATGACCACAATGGTCTCATGCCTGAACTGCAAGATCATGGAAACAATGTAGTATAAACATGTTTTGTTTTTTTGTTTTTTATTGGTGGTAACATCATTGGTAGTGGGATTTTCTAGCATGTAACTGATTCAGTACAAAACATTAGAGCAAGTAGTGTATAGGGCATGGTGATTAGACAGGAACATGGAAAATAGCAGAGAAAACCTGTTTATTGAACTCTGAGTGTAGCAGCATTGTGAAAGCCTTTCAACAGAAAATAGTTGTGTAAATGTGATTTGCTCATGTTCTAATATAGGGTTGGGCAACTGGTGGCCTGCAGGTGACTTCCTTCCAGCCCACCAGTTATTTATTTATTTATTTATTTATTTATTTATTTATTACTTAAAACTGAGCTCAAAGCAGCTTTTAAAAAAATGCTCATTGACGAGCTGGACAGAAGTCACCCACGGGCAGGATGTGGCCCATGAGCCATGTATTGCCCATCTGTGATATACACAAACATTTTTGAAATTGCACTTTTATTACATTTGAGAATGTGAGCAATGCTATGTGGCCATCTGGTGGTAGTGTCAGTAAAAAAATGTGGCCCCTTCCATTATTTGAATTGCCCACCCCTGTTCTAATAGGTCTAATAGGTCATGGAGAGTACAGCAGGGTTGATTGTCCTTTTTGAAAGGGGCTTGTGGAACAACATTACTGTTAAGATATCAAGATAAAATTATCTTTGTTAATGTTGCCTAATGGRGTAAGTGTAAATAAAGTGAGGCTTAAGTTTGCTTTAAAATTGTTAAAGGAAAAAAAGAAGCGAGACAGAAAAATCCAGCATAAATTCCAATCAAAAATAATGAGTTAACAATTTAATAGAATTGAAATATGCTTTTTTCTTTTGTCTTAGTCAAAAGGCAGCAGAATAATGTCTGCTATAACTTAATGAGTGGAAGCTTTCAGTAGCTAATGCTTAAATCAGCCTGTCATACAACGGCGCCAGCCTTTGTCAGAGCTTGAAAGCTGTATTAGTGAAAAGGGCAATTTGACCTGGCATTGTAATCTAATTAGACAAATATTCTACATGACAATTTTACAGTATATAGTGAAGACACATAACCAAATCATGTTTTGTTTATTGTTTAAATGTGTTGCACTACAATCATCTCCATGGGGCTAGTTCCACTTGGCAGCAAACTAAATTAGTAGTCTCCTGGCTGTAGCTTCAGATTAATTTACCCAACTTCTCCATTTAAATCAGTAAAGGGACTAAGATTATTTCACAACACTCAGAGCTATTCCTTTGCTAATATGATTTTACATTCATCACTGAAGTGGCTGTAGAAGGTGCAACAATTCATTGCCACTGAGCAAAAAAATGCAATTTGAATTTGCTTTTGTACAAGAAAAATCTTCAATTGTTCTGCAACAAATAAAGGTTTCTGGCTTGAAATGGCATGTAGACACAGTTTATATGGTCTATATTGTCATAGTGCTTTGTGTTGTAGGTTAGCTCATGCAGGAATGGCTTGGTGAATGCCTTGTATTGTGGAAATGTCACTGCTGAGGCTGGTTACTTTAAATTCCCTGTATAAATGGATCTTTTTCATTTAACTTATTGCATCTTAGTTAAATGCAAATGTCTTCAATATTGAAATCTTGTTTATGTGCTTTAACTTGAGCTTTTAGATCAGATTTAGTCTTTTTTCTTTTGGTCTCTGGACATTTTAAATGTATTTTTAATCCATGCTCAGTTGGTTATTACTTTTACCATCTTCAGTGTTTGCCATTGCTTGAGAACATTAAACTCACTGCTGCTGTTCATGATGGTTTTCCATTTTGCACATACTGAGTCYGTCTGGTTTCAGCTATTCGCTATTACTGCTGCTAATTTCTACACAATTATCCATATTTGCTGTGTTTGTTGCTGAGACTCACTTTCCCTTCCATATATATTTTTTTTCCGCCAACTTTCTCCATCGACTCGAACATTTCCATTTATCCCGCCTGCTGACTTTCTAGAACCCCATATCAGTCCCTCCTTTGTTTTTCTCTTTCTTAGTTCCTCCCAGCCTGACAGTCCCTCGGGGCAAGTCCCCCCTGGTGGCCCGTGAGGGCGACACCGTGGAGCTGGAGTGCCTTGTTTCAGGGAAGCCCAAGCCCATCATTCTTTGGTCGCGAGCAGATAAGGAGGCGCCCATGCCAGATGGCAGCATGCAGATGGAGAGCTACGAYGGCGTCCTGCGGATTGTTAACGTGTCCAGGGAGATGACTGGCTCGTACCGCTGCCAGACCAGCCAGTATAATGGGTTCAACGTGAAGCCTCGGGAGGCAGTGGTGGAGCTGATGGTGCAATGTGAGTATAAAACCCTGGGAGTATTCTGTAGGAATCTAAATGTGGGTGTAAATGCATTTTGTCATACAACCTGTTCCAGTCTTATAGTGTGCTTCAGCATAAGGTGTCCCGTTTGTTGCTTTAATCTGTTCTCTTTGTGTGCAGTGCAATTAATCTTTATGGGTTCTAATCTGCWGGGACCAAAATTGAACTTTCACACGTGTCTTTCCATCTACACCCATCCAATTTCCTTCTGAAGGCTGTGAAATGACTTTTCTCCTCTGGTGCTCTCACTCAGGACTATGAGAAAACCCAAAACTCTGACACTAAAAGAACTTTACYTGCTAGGTGTAAAGAGAGCAGAACTAAGATTAACAAAAACACAAAGCTCCAGATGTTCATGTCCACACAATACAATCTCTATGTTTCTGTTAATGAATGTGTTCATCTCATCTTTGTGTGTATTTTCATGTCAAAGAAGAACAAAAGAGGCCATTCTATGACCTCAGGTCTCCATCCCACCCCCGCACCACCTCAGCCACTCATTGAAAAATTCCTTCCCCTCCTTTTAATCGCCGACATTCAAAGATGGCTTAAAGGCCAATTAGCGAGCAGCTAATTTATTCCCACTGGTATTCATTTTGTGTTCATTTGTGGACATTTGAAAAGAAAAATTCGAATGAACACCAGGGATTCAAAGCGGTGTCACTATCTCGCAGCGCTGGGGATATTTTTCTCTCCTATGAAGACAGAGCGGAAGACGGTTAGGGAAGGAAATGAAAGCGATCCATGTAGGGTGCTTACCATTCTCTGGCAAGTGATTATAGGAACTGGAAAAACTGAGTTTCATAGCTCGTATTGTTTTCCTCTTGGCCTACTTGCAGCAGTTAATCCATACATTCTTTCATTTCAAACTTGCACATGTATTCCCTCCYTTAAAAGGAGCCTGTGCAGCAGCATGTGTTTTAAAATGCTTCAACATAAATGACAGTTAATGTGCTCTCATTGTTGGGTTTTGACCTCGTCATTAGACGTGTCGAACGTACAACAGCAGAAACAGGTTCAACAACTTCTAAAGTGTGAAACGTTAAAAAGACTTACGGATAAAGCCTAACTGATGTTTTGATTAAAGATGAACTTGACACCACCACTACAAATATTTTGATTGARGAGGAACAAGAGCAGCCCCATTTTGTGTTTTGCTGACATGGATAAGCACATAATTCTCCTGTCTTTTTAAATTTTTATTTTTTCCAGAACTGTAACATACTTTTTGCTATGACATTCACGTTTCAGCTTTGCTGTTACCCTCGTTGCAGTGTTGAGGGAATTAATGAGGTTTTGATGTGCTTTGAAGAAGACAGTTGAAGTTTTTTGAGAGAAGGGGATGAAMTGATAATGATTATACAGTGGTGACAGCCAATATCAAAGGTTAGGGGCTTTTCCATGCACTAATGCTGGCACCAAAGAGTAAACAAAGAATTTACACTTTAATATTGCCTCAGTAATTAGCAGCTCTCAGTGGAACTTGTGCTAAATGCATGTGAGGGTGTTATAGAATGAGCAAATTAGCAAGTTAAAAAGTAAATTTAAGAAGTTAAATATTTACTTTTTAGCAGAAATCCAAATAGATGTAGCAACGGCTGCTGTTTTATTTACACATAATTTTCATGCTGCTCATGCTCCATATTTTTAATATGTTCAAATTATCTTTTTTTTCCCTACAAAATGTTAAAAACATATGCTGCTGCATMAACCTCCTGCTCTCTCTCCGCAGAGCCCTGCTCACTGCAATATGCAGCAGGGTCATGATGACCTGCTTCCATTTGGACAGTGATGAGGACATGCAGTGTATTCCGACTATCATCTTTCAGCTTTATGGCTAAAGCTCCTTTTGCTTTAAGTCAGCACAGTCACAGCTGTAGGAGRAATAAAACATAAAAAAACATGTTTTAATCAACACAGTTAATTGCACAGCTTTTATGTTTACGTTTTCTGCCAAATTACAAGGTGCATCTTCTGTGTATCAGTGTCATTGTCATTARAATAACAATACGAGGCGCACAATCTATCAATTAAACAACCCACTTACAATAAACCTTTTCACTTATTAGTTAACAGATTTAAATGTTATTCACATTCAAGTAAAAAGTGCATTTGTGACCTATTGCTCCCAGATCTGTGTTTTAACTGGACTTGGGTTCACTTTATATTTAGAGAATGTATCATTTTTATTTGCTGGTTACCTTAACTTTGACAGTTCCATCTTCATCAGCATTAGATTTTGGAAATTTTTCAACTTAACTAGGTTGTAGAATTGAGAAATGTTAGACAAATTGCTCAAAAAACTAAATAAATGAGCAGCTTTACAAAAGAAAGTTGTATAATGCAGTGATCATTCCACTCTTAATTTATTGTATTGAAGTTTAGGGAAAAGTATGTACAACAATTACAAATCCTATTTTTATTTTTACAAAAAGAGCTGTRAGAATCATGACTATGGTCACCCAATAAATACATTATTTTATCAATTGAAATTATTGAAATGTTATGATTTTGTTGATTGTATCTTACAGGTTACATGTATAAGAATCATAAAAATATATTATCTTTAAACATCCAATCAAACTGTGTCAAGAGAAAAAGTTGCTATAACTTTAAATGAATTGAGATTTTTGTAAAATCGCAACTTTGAACGAGCTTGAAGGTAAAAAGTAATTCATTTCAAGGAATATAAATGTGGAATAATCTTGAGTGATGTTAAAACTGCTGGAAAAAGTATTTATATATTTAAGAGAATGATAAAAGCTAGTTTGTTGAAGAAATGTGATTTATATTACGTGTTGACAATAATTGTTCAAGAAGGACTTAATTTTGGGGGAAAAGCATCCAATATAAGATTTTTTTCTTGTTTTTGCTTCCTTTCATTTCATTTGAGTTGTTTAGTTTTTTTTATTGTAAATAGATTTTCTTTTGTTTATTTTAATGAACGAATAAATAAAATAAATCAATGAAAGTTGAGATTTTGCAAATTCATGTAATTTACAAAGACATCGCCAAAGATGTGCACAGAGATGGCATGTCATTATTACGCCTGTGTAAACTGTGCTGCCAGCTACACAGCATCTCTACATTGGGGCAGTTTGCCCACAATTAAATGAGGCACTAAAAGGAAAAGCTACACATATTTAAAAAATTCCAGAATTTTAAAGACCAGTGCTGTTCACGACTGATAAATAAGTCAAAAATAACCCAGTCTCAATGTGGTAGTTAGAATTAAAGATGCATTCAGGCAAGGTTTGTCTCTTCTGACCTTTAGGCTTGGGAAATAATGTCCATATAGTTGCTTTCCACCAACTGCGGACAGAGAAGTCTAGCAGCGAATGGCTTTGTTAGTGACAGATGGAAAAGACATGCTCAAGAACCAAGACGAGGATAAACCAGAGCTCAAAGCTTCAACTGAAAAATATTCATTCATTCAATTCATTCTGTTTCTGCTCGAGATTTCTGTATTGGCCTATAGTTGCATCATAAGTTGACAAACCCGCTGTACAAGACACACTGAGAAGCACATCCAATCCCACCAAATAATCCCATCTCTTCCTTTCAATCCAATTCATTCTGAGAATGCAATTATTTCTCATTTTGTAGTAGTATTTTAATAAAGCATCTTTCTTGCAATACAAGTCTTGATGTCATACAACACTTTCAACTTCTCTCCATCTTCAAAGCAGAACACAAAATGAAGAGACTTATTTGGGCTTTGGTTATGATAAATGAGAATCATTCTGCCGAGTTCTTGTTAAAGATCCCCAGCTTTGTTTGCCAGACTCTTGTTTCTTAATATCAGCTGGCATCAAAGCTCACATTTTCGAAGCACTTGAGTTCTTGGATTGATTTGACACACTTGGAGTATATTGAGTAAATTTGTCCACCTTGTGTACACATCAGCACATGCTGTTCTCCATGTTTGCCAAATACCGCCACCTTAGTTCATCTCCCTCAGCTTGAGAATTTGTTTCATTAGACACAAAAGCTTGCCCTTCTTTTGTTGTTTGCTCCAAAGGCCTGTAGAAATGCCCCCCACCCTCCCTCCTCTCTCTTGGCCTGTCTTATGGTGTGTAAGCACAAGCCAATCCCTCTGAGATGCTTTTCTCAGCTGCATTTCCAGGACCCAGCATGAGACGCCTGCCTTTGGTGGTGAGCCATGTGCAAAGCCGCGTTTAGTAACTTGATCAAGGGACCGAGGTACAGTCCTCTGAAGCAAAGAGCATTAGAGGCGTGAAGGAAYGACTCTGGCAAGTCAACAGCTTTGATATGTAAAAACCTGCATCTGTTGGCTGGCAGAGGCAACACCAGCAGGAGAGGTAGAGGGAATGGAAGGCGTCTGCCTTAAGAGGCGTCGTTCTAATAGAATTGCAAAAGCCAAATCCCAGGCTGTGACACCCTAATGTTCTTAGTCAAACTGACTTGGCACGGTCCAGAGGCTTTGAGAGGGGGAGTGAACACACAGATAGAGAGAAGGAAAGAAGTATAGAGTGGTCTTCTGTCCTAGATACTGACATCTGTCAGAGTGACAGTTATCAAGTTCTACTTCGGCCCAGATCCATAGAAATCTTTTTAACAAGGCTGCTCTTTCTGTTCCCCTTCACTTCCTTCATGACACCTGCCTGATGCTACTGAGAAACCGTACCCAGAACACCTGCTTTGCTTTCTGACCAAACACACTCACCAGGATACAGATCTATCCCACTGACTATTAAAAAAAATTACATGATTATTGTGTTTAATTAATTTTCTTCTTTCCCCATCTAGAGGACTTGCGATGCTGGCCCCTGAGGCCCACTGTTAAATCAGAGCTTACYGCCAATCCAATCTCAGCTAAATTAATCTTTTGCGTTACAGCAACCCTCTCTCTCACACACACACACATCATGTAGGAGATAATATTCATGATTTTTCTTTCTTTTTTTCTTTCTTTTCCTKGAACAATATTGAATTGATCAGCCGCACCAAAAACA